TTGTTTACAATAAGCACTTATTATTCACACAATTTGAAAGGCTCAATACTGGAATACTGCAAATCTTAGTCAGCATCAAGCACTTGAGTTCCTGGGCCATGAAACAAATCAAGGCTGAACTGATAACAGATGAAATATTTGTACACAGAATCAGCCTGGGGCTGTCACTGCAATCCTGGTTGGCCCTCAAACCAATGTGCTGTGTGGCTGGCTCTAGCCTCTGTCCTACACATCCAGGAGACAAGAACGTTTGCAAGCACTCGGCCCACGCTTTGCACTCACTTGTACTTGAACGGCCCCAGGATCAAAGGGATAATTATAATGTTGATGACAGTAGCAGCTACTATCTATGGAGTCACTGTGCCAATCACATCACTCCCAGTGAATTCTAAATTATGATCCAAAATGAACAAGTTTTGTTCTACTTTCATAGATGAGGAAACTGGGTCCCAGAAAGAATGAGTGTGCTACAATGAAAAATATTTAATCAAATCTTTGAATCTCGTGAGTGATATGAGCGTCTTTTGTTATTCATAATGAGTCCCTTTCAATCATACCCAAGTTTACGCTAATGAAGTGACTTTTGTGGGAATAGGGTGGTAGACAGCTTCAGGATAAGGGCAGGTCGCCAGAAAAGCCAGCCAGGTGATTAGAGAGTGGGAATTTTCAGCCCCATCCCCTGGACCTCCAGGGAAGTTAGAGGAGCTGGACATTGAGTTCAATCACCAAATGGCCAATCAGTCATGCCTACCTAGTGAAATCTCCAGAAAAAATATCTAAACGATGGGGTCTGGGGAGCTTCTGAGTGGAGCTCATTCTGACTCCATAAGGATGGAGGCTCCTGCATCTGACGGCCTCACCCTATGGATCTCTCCCATGTGGCTGTTCCTGAGTTGTATCCTTTAAAACATATCAGTGATTGTTTAAGTAAAGCACCTTCCTGAGTCCTGTGAGTCACTGCAGAAAATGACTGAACCTGAGGAGGGGCGGAGGAAACCATCGAATCTGTACTCAGCCAGACAGAAGTGCCTCGGCGCCCCTTTTGCAGCTGGTGTCTAAAGTGGGGCCATCTTGTGGGACTGGGCCCTCACCTGTGGAATCTGTGCTAACCCTGAGAGTTAGTGTCAGAATTGAATGGAACTGTTGAATATCCAGTCAGAGTCAAAGAATTACAGAACAGCTTGGTGTGGAAAATGTATTTGGTATCAGAAAAAAAAAAAACACAAGGGCTCAGGGCTCAGCCAGTGGACCCTACGGGTGATTGCCAACTGTTCTCAACCCACCACAGCACCCGGCCTAGGTTCTGAGATAGAGGCCTAAGAGGTCTCCGGGGCCACAGATCCCACTAAGAAAAGGTGACCAAAGCGGAAGAAGAAAAACAGGACAGTGTGGGGGGTCAGGATGTGAGATGAGAGAGTATGGCAGGAGGGACAGAGAGCCCCATAGCAGACACTGCCAGGACGTTGGGTAGGGTGAGAACCCAAGAGCAACCAGAGGATCCAGGAACACGGAGGCCCCATCCCAGGCTCCTGACCAGGGGACTTTCAATGCCGCCAGACTGGAATGGGCTGAAGATGAACTGGGCAAGACCACCACATAGTCAGGATGGTGGACTGGGGGAAGGGGCAGGAGGTGTGTTTGGCTGGAAAATACACATGGGAAGCTTCTGGGGTGTTGACAATCTCCTATTTGTTGACCCAGGTGGTGACTGTATATTAAACTCCATATTTACTTTCATAATTTTTTCAGAATTTGACAATAAGAGATTAGAAAAGAGAGATTAGGAGAGGGGGAAGTAGAGAAGGCAGGTGCAGAGCTCCTCTTCAGGGAAGTCTGGCTGAGCTGGCCCTGGGCTTTAGGGCCAGTTGAGTAGGAGCCACTGGCAGGCTTTTGGGATGGGGGAGGATCAGACATGCCTTTTAGATAGCACCACATCCCAGAAGGGAAGGGGAGGAAAGGGGAGCCCTGTGGCACTAATCAAAGTAAACAGGGGTGGAATATGTGAGTGTGTGAGCTCCTAGGACACAGAGCAAAACAAATATCACCAGGCGTGGCGGCTCACGCCTGCAATCCCAGCACTTTGGGAGGTTGAGGCGGGCAGATCACCTGAGGTTGGGAGTCCAAGACCAGTCTGACCAACATGGAGAAACCCCCTCTCTACTAAAAATACAAAAAAATTAGCTGGTCATGGTGGTGCATGCCTGTAATCCCAGCTACTCGGGAGGCTGAGGCAGGAGAATCATTTGAATCAAGAAGGTGGAGGTTGTGGTGAGCCAAGATTGCACCATTGCACTCCAGCCTGGGCAAGAAGAGCAAAACTCCGTCTCAAAAAATAAAAAAGTATATATATATATACTTTTCTGAGATATATATATATCAAAGAACAAGTCCCACAATCCATCCAAAAAAGAAAACACAACCCAAACCAAAAACTTGACATTAACAGAATCTTTCAAATTCCATCAAATTATGCTTGCAGAAAATTATGCATTGTCCTCCTTATTTATCATTTCTCATCCATATTTATGTCAACCTGGGCTCCGGGAATGACCTGTGTTTTTAAATCCATACCAATCATACCCTATTTTAACCATCAGGCTGGCTCTGCTGGAGACAAAAATACTCCCAATACTCCCACCACCTTGTTATAGAAACACAACACAGCCAAGGCTAACCCTTCTGTAGCGAGTTGATGAGCTAAGATGGGCCCTGAGGAGCTCACTTTTTCACCCCTCTCAGAGAACATTGGACACGAGCTGCCTTTAATAGGTACCATCTTGGCTGGACGCAGTGGCTCACACCTGTAACTTCAGCACTTTGGGAGGCCGAGGTGGGCAGATCACCTAAGGTCAGGAGTTGGAGACCAGCCTGGCCAATGTGGCGAAACCTCGTCTCTACTAAAAATACAAAAATTAGCTGGGCATGGTGGTGCACGCCTGTAATCCCAGCTACTCAGCAGGCTGAGACAGGAGAATCACTTGAACCCAGGAGGCAAAGGTTGCAGTGAGCCGATATCACGCCATTACACTCCAGCCTAGGCGACAGAGCAAGACTCCATCTCAAAAAAAAAAAAAAAAGGTACCATCTCCTCAAGTTCATGTAATATATATGGCCTTTTGTTGGGCAAACACACAGATTTTATCTGCTCCAAAAGAGTAGAAAGCCTGGAATGGATCCCAACGAACAGGATGGTATTCTCAAGTGATCACATCACCACCCAGCCACAGGCCCAATCTTAACCTTTCCAGCAGCTGCTTCTTTGTCAAATAGGTCCTCCCGCAGGATTTCACAGCCCAGCCCCTTACTCAACAAGTATTTATTGACAGGCTTCAGGAACACCAGGCAAGTAGGATAGCAATGAACAAGATGCTGACCTTGACCCTGACCCTGACCCTGCATCCATGGTATGAGCATTTTAACTGCGGGAGGTTTGCAAAGTTCTCTTAAACTGTCTACTACATGCTCTGTAAGCATTTTCTTATGGATAACATAAACCTCATTTTAAAAATAGTTGAGACATTACAACCTGTCACAAAAACTCAGACAAAATGCTTCTAGTTATCTTGAGGTTTTAGAGCTTAAATTTAAAATACCACCACATTTTTCTCAGCTTTCGGTGCTAAGACAAAAAACAGCTAAGTTTTTAACTGACATCTACTTTTCTAGATCAGCAGCTCTCCTTTTTCCTCCTTTAGGAGTCTGTGCCAGGTAGGACAACCCAGAGAGCACCTGTAAGGAGGACCTTCCCCACCCAGGGCACACCGGGAGAGCAGCCCTGCCAAGGAGATGGCAGCTCCAGCCTCCTCCTTGGGGCCCACACTTTGTCATGGGCCCAGCAGCAGCCACACAGAGAGCCATGTGTGGCTTCTGTGTGGCTCCCGATCTCAGGGAAGGGTAGCTGGTCTGAGGCACACTCCTCCTGCTTCCCCCTCAGCAGCTGAGGTTTCCACGGCATTTTCATCCCACAGGCACAGCAGGGTGAGGCAGCCGACGATGCTTACGTGGATTTCCCTGGCTGACTCCCTTTAAGCTCTTGCACATGCTAATTTGCAAATAAATATCGAGAAAACCAAATGATATTAAAATCCCTTTCTCATTCAGCACAGTAAGGACACAGTCTAGGAAAGGGAGTCTAGGACTGACCAGCTCTGTGCTTCCTGTCTGATTAACAAGGGTGGCCAAACAGGGCTAAGAACCCAAACCATGGGGAGAAAAGGGCAAGTTTCCACTCAAGACTTTCTGATCAAACCACCAAACCCCCCAGGTCCTCCTAGCTGCTTTGAATTTAATAATATTCCTAGGCTCAGGTTGGGCGCGTGGCTCACGCCTGTAATCCCAGCACTTTGGGAGGCTGAGGCGAATCCTGGCTAACACGGTGAAACCCTGTCTCTACTAAAAAAACACAAAAAAATCAGCCGGGCATGGTGGCAGGCACCTGTAGTCCCAGCTACTCGGGAGGCTGAGGTAGGAGAAAGGCGTGAACCTGGGAGGCGGAGCTTGCAGTGAGCCCGAGATCATGCCACTGTACTCCAACCTGGGCGACAAGAGTGACATTCCACCTCGAAAAAAAAAAAAAAAATTCCTAGGCTCTGTAAGTTATTGGCATTTTCATTCACATTTTCAATTCTTCCAGAATCAATATTTTTATAAATGGCTTTTAGGTGCAGTCTGAAAAATATGTAAATGTCTACACCGTATTATTTCCCATATTCTCCAAATATCAACATGACCAGTCTTCTCAGATGATCGCAAAACTGAAATGACATATTTAAAGTGGCCAAAATAATTGTTACGATGTTTCCCCCATTAGTTAAGATTTAGCTTATTTTGTAGTTTTACTCAACCCAGTAAAGAAATTTAAAATTTCACAGTTGAATTAAATGGAATATTTAAGGATCAAAATGAACTAGAACCAAACACAACCTAGAGAGATTCCAACTTTTCCTTGGAGCCAACCGGCACGTGATCCTTTCGTGGCCAGAGTGGCCACTTGTACTCACTGTCAGGTTCCAGTTGATCTGGGGGATCCTCATGTGCAGGTTGAGACTGAACATAATCAGCAAGACGCCAGTCACCACAAACGCACTGCAGCTCACAAACTCAAAAAAGTAGAGGCCTTCACACGGGGAGCACGCCATGATGGTCTCTATACAGATGAATGCAATCAGGGCCAAGATCTAGGAAGAAAATTGGAAACATATATGTATGTATATATTTAGTATACATCTGTGGACATACGTACCTGCCATGCTTAAATAACACTGAACAACAACAATATACTGCCCCAATATACTGGGGACAGCATTGTAACTGTCGGAAATCAGACCTGCTTCAATTCTTACACAAAGAATAGGTGCAGGGGTCTTAATGAAAGGATCAAATTACTAATGTAAACAGTGAAGGCCCACCACATACACTAAAATCAATCTGGTGTGATGTGGCCCGCGGGTGTAAACTGCTGGCCCTTGGGAGGAAGCAGAAACATCTCTACGATGTTTCTAGGTCTTCCCCTGCCACCAATAAGTAAGTGGGTATTGCCTATGTGTGTTTCTAATTCATGGTCTCCACCACAATTATCCCAAACACTGCAACAGCAGAATTCTGATGGTATCCAACTTAGGCCATCTGCAGTTACCTTGGTGGCTCCTGCTAAAGTCACACAGGTTAACTGAGACTCCTGACGGCTTTAAAATGATGACTGATATAATCTCCTCTTCCCCCAATTAGGCGGGAACAAGAGGCCCACCTCATTAATTCATATGGTTTTAAAAAATATATTTTTTGAACTTGATCACAAGAAGATGGCAGCTTATTAAAAAAAACATTAAGAAATCTACCAATAATAGAATAAATTTCTAGGCTGGGCACTGTGGCTCACGCCTGTAATCCCAGTACTTTGGGAGGCCAAGGTGGGTGGATCACCAGAGGTTGGGAGTTCGAGACCAGCCTGAACAACATGGAGAAAACCCATCTCTACTAAAAATACAAAATTCGCTGGGCGTGGTGGCGGATGTCTGTAATCCCAGCTACTCGGGAGGCTGAGGCAGAAGAATCGCATGAACCTGGGAGGCGGAGGTTGCAGTGAGCTGAGATCGCGCCATTGCACTCCAGCCTGGGCAACAAGAATGAAATTCCGTCTCAAAAAAAGAAAAAAGAATAAATTCTTTTCTGAAGGACCAAAGTAACATTCTGGCAATATGTCCTAAGAGTTCACAGATCATAAAACCAAATAGATATCGACGGAAATTACCAAGTGAACTTTTAAAAGGGGATTTCAGGAGAAGGAGGAGGCCCAAAGGCAGAGTTAATGGCCCTGTGATCAAAGAAAGGTTTCGAGCACCTAAAGCCAGATCAGTCTTGGGCTCCCGCTCCGCTCAGTTCAATAGCATCTGAAGCCTGTGCTGCTGCTTCCAGGCTGGCCTCCACTTCACAGGACAAGGAAGCAGAGGCAGGCAGCTCTGTGGTCCTCTAGAGACTTGTCCTTTAGAGCTTGTGAGAAATGTAGAATCTTTGCTTCCTCCCCTTAGACTACAGAATCAGAATCTGCTTTCTGATGAGATCTTCAGATCATTAAAGTGCCAGCAGCATCCAAGGCACAGGCTGTTCTGGGGCCTTTCTCCACCTGCTGAAGTCCCACTGGTGCTTTCCAGTGCTCCACTTGATGCTGCCGCCGCCTCCTCCCCATGTCTTCCCTGACTGCTTCTCCCTGCCAGACATCAGCTTATCCTACTCTCTACCAGGAAAGCTGGTTCGCCTGTGATTGCATTCTATCCTTACCATCTTGCAGCCTCTGCCTCCTGAGCTTTTAGGGGGCAGGGCAGTCCATCCCCATCTACTCCCAAGACACCAAGCACAGTAACTTGCACAGAGCCAGCAGACGGGGGCTGAATGAGCCATTAGAAAACCCACATCTACAATTCCTGGCTGCCTGGTCAGTGTCTTCAGGTGAATGGAACAGTGGTTATGCCTTTCCCATTGTCAATTGTCTTCTACATAGAACCTCTTTCCTAACAATATGTGGTCTTTTCTAAGTCAACACATTAAAGATGCCAGTCTTCTTAGTCAAAGGATACAAAATTTCAGTTAGACAGAAAGAATAAGTTCAAGAGATCTATTGGACAATATGGTGACTTAGTCAACAACAATGTATTGCATTGTATTGTTAAGAGTAGATTTTAGATATAGTAAGAGTAAAGGCAAAAATTTCTGAACATAAAAGTTGTAGTATAGTTATTAAAAGTGTTTCTCCACCATGCGTGGTGGCTCACACCGGTAATCCCAGCAGTTTCGGAGGCAGAGGCAGGTGGATCACCTGAGGTCAGGAGTTCGAGTCTGATTAACATGGTGAAACCCCATCTCTACTAAAAACACAAAAATTAAGGCCAGGCGCGGTGGCTCAAGCCTGTAATCCCAGCACTTTGGGAGGCCGAGACGGGTGGATCAAGAGGTCAGGAGATAGAGACCATCCTGGCTAACACGGTGAAACCCTGTCTCTACTAAAAAATACAAAAAACTAGCCAGGCGAGGTGGCGGGCGCCTGTAGTTCCAGCTACTCCGGAGGCTGAGGCAGGAGAACGGCGTAAACCCGGGAGGCGGAGCTTGCAGTGAGCTGAGATCTGGCCACTGCACTCCAGCCTGGGCGACAAAGCGAGACTCCATCT